ACCCATGGAGCCATCCCCTTAGTCCTAGTTTTCTGAATTATTTATTTATTATTTATTTTTTAGGTTGGGTCTCACTATGTAGCTCTAGCTGGCCTGGAACTCATGTAGTCCTGACTGACTTGAACTCAGAGATCTGCCTGCCTGTCTGCCTGCATGAAATCACTGTGATGGACCAGGAATGTCATTGAGTGCCCATTGGCTCAGTGGTTGGGCACTTACCACTAACTTATGTCCATAGCTTTTAGGCTGAGATGATTAAATTGCCTGATGGCCTTGCTGATGAATTTTGGTAAGTTACATCCTGTTCCCTGAAGATGGACACCCCCCCTTTTTTTTTTTTGGTTTTTCGAGGCAGGGTTTCTCTGTGTAACAGTCCTAGCTGTCTTGGAACTAGCTCTTGTAGACAAGGCTGTCCTTGAACTCACAGTGATCTGCCTTCCTCTGACTCCCGAGTGCTGGGATTAAAGGTGTTGAACACACCAGTGGACACCATTCTTGTAGACTGGCAGTGTCTGCCAGAAGGAGGACTGTGTGGAATCCCACCTCTAGGAAACCAGCTCACAGATGTTTCAAAGAAATGCCAGTTGAGCATGGCTACTCCTACCTGGTCCCAGCTCCTTGAGGGGCTGAGGCAGGACAATTCTGATTTTAAAGCCAGCTACATAGTGAATTCCAGGCCAGACTTGGCTGCACAGTAAGACCTTAAAACAGGAACAAAAGACAGTGCAACTGTCTCAGTAAAGCCAAAGGCAGTGGAAGAGCACTTGACTAGTCTGTTCTGTTCAAGGTTCTGGATTTATCTTTAGAATTCAAACAACATAATAAAAAGATTATCCACTGTGCTTTTAATAGCAAAATGCAAGACAGAACCCAAATGTTTTTTTTTTTTTTTTCTGAGACAGCTTCATGTAGGCCAAGTTGGCCTCAGACTCACTATATAGCAAAGAATGGCCTTGGGATATCTGACCTTTCTTCCTCCTCGTGACTGCCAAGATGACATCCAGTTCACTTGGTGCTGGGGATGGAACAGAGCTTCCTGTATGCCTAGCAAGTGCCCTTCCGGCTGAGCCACATCCCAAGTGTTCCCCAAGGGGGGAATGTTCCTGTCCTGGTCCACAGGGTGGAGTGTTATAGAGTGGAGAAGATAGATCAGGAGTTCCTTATGAGCTGATACAAAAATATTTCCAAGATATGAAAAGGTAGTATATAGGCAAACTGAGCAAGCATAAGAAGGAGATGCTTTCAAGATAAAACTCAGTAGTTCTGTTCTGTGGAGTTCTTTTCATTGCTTTCTCCTTTCCTTTTTGGTATTTTGCTGTGTTTTCCTATTCAAAAACCTATTTCACTCAGCTAATCAAAAGTTCCTATTCAAAAATATCTGCCTGCAGATCAGTGGTGGTACATGCCTTTAATCTCAGCACTTGGGAGGCAGAGGAGGGCAATCCTTTGTCATCTGTCAGTTCAAAGTCAGTCTGCTCTATAGAGGGAGTTCCAGGACAGCCAGGGCAACAGATAAACCACGTCTCAAAAAAACAAAAGAATCTGCCAACAACTCCCACCAGGATATCCCATATAACATGGGTAGCTACAGGGCTGGGGAAATCGCTCAACAGCTGAATGCTTGTTGTTTTTCCAGAGGACCCTTCCCAGCACCCACACTGGGCAGCTGACAACTGCCTCTAACTCCAGCTCCAGGGTATCTGAAGCTCTAATGACTTGATTTTTGTGGGCACCTGCATAGGGGGCAATATTAAGAAACAGTATCTGCACCCCAGGGGCGTGGCAGTTATTAAGCATGCATATGTGGGTGCTGGGAATTGAATTCTGGTCCTCTGGAAGAGCAGTACTCTTACAGGCTGAGCCATCTCTAAAGCCCTGACTATGTGTGTTTAGTTTAGAAGGACAACTGTCCAGATCCCTTCAGCCTTCCTGCACCTGCTGGCCCCAGTGGGTGCTGGATTTGGCATCCTTACCACTAAGGAGTTTACTCCAAGAAAACTGGTGAAGAGACACTTGGGCAGTCTCTGGTGTGGGATCTGCATACATGCACTCTCCAATTCTAGCTGTTGGCATTCTGGCTGGCATCTGTCTGTCCTGGCACTTGTTGCACTCCAACCAATCCCACAAGCAGTGTGGAGGGACTCAGAGTAGCCATAAGGCTGCCCAGCATGTGCTGCTCAGGAGACATACTTCCAGCTGGCAAGGGACTACAGAAGACGGAAGACTATAGAGTATAGCATTCCCATCATCTCTCCTATCTTTGATGCTCACATGGAGCTGGCTCAAACTTGTTTCTGATTTGTATCAATAGACTCCACCTCAGCCCCAGGGTAGGGACCTAACAAATGGCAGTCAGGACTTCTGTCCACTGTGCTGAGGGGTAGTGGCTCTTGGCTTCTAGGCTAACTCACTCCACCAAGCAATGAGTCAATTCAGGTATTTTGCTCAATACTTGCCCCTTCTTAGGATAGTGATGGAGATGCACCTAACAGGTGTCTGCCTAGAATGAAGGCGGGGCACTTAAGACCCTGAGCTGTTGTTGATGGCAGTCACCTGACACAGTCAACTGCTGTCTCCTTGAGCTTGAGCTAGTTCCCTGTAGGGAGGGTCCTGGGTATCTCAGAGATCTAGGGGTCAGAAAGGTGGCTGTGGATAAAGGCACTTGCTGAGTAGGCCTAGTGACCTGAGTTTGATCCCTGGAGCCCAGGAAAAGAACTGATACCATCATCCTCTGACCTCAAGTACCATGATGTGCCTGAGTTAACCTGGGTCATCACTGCTAAGGAAGCCAACTTGCCTGGAAAAGCACTGGAGCACTAGAGCCCTTCACCTTGCAATTCATCTCTAGTGCCACCTACCACGCCAGAGTTCAGCTGCTGAGTAGAATCAAGGGGAAAAACTTCAAATGGACTATAAGCCCTAGACCCCACTTTGATTTTCCTTCATACCATTTTCCTCCCTCAAATGAGATGAAGTCTGGGTATCCCTGGGCTTCAACTTAAGAGATCTACCTCTACCTTCTCCGTGCTCAGAGCCAGCACACGCTGGGGAGATGGCGCAGCAAGCATAGTACTTGCTTAGCATGCAGAAATGCTGGGTTCCATCCCCAGAGTCAAACAAATCTGCATGGTGATTGGTGCATGTTTGTCACCTAGCATTTGGGAAGTGCAGGCAAAGGATCACAAGTTGAAGATCATCCTCACAAAGCAAGGTAAAGGCCAGGATGCAGTGTTAAGACCCTGTCTCTTTCCTAAAAAAAGGCATGGATATTGGGAACAACTAAGGAGCTTGTCTTCCATGACTGAACCCTAGGTTTAATCCTTGCCCCCACACCAGAAAAGGGCTGTGGTTTCAAACAGGAGGCAGGAAGTTCAGTCAGAGGGTTTAGACACACCTTTCCAGTCTCAGCCAGGGAAACCTAAGTCAACAGATCTTCAGGCAAGGCTAAGGCTGCAGGGTGTAGCTGAGACTGGGAGCCTTGGGGACTCCCTGACGTTGTGGGTTGTTTTCCCTTGTCTGAACCTTGTCACCAGGCCCTGGCCTGGCCTCCCTTCCAAGGAGTATTATTCCCTTTTTGTCAGGGAGGAGCAGAGTGTGACAGCCTTTGGGGGGGGGGGCTCCCCAAACTTCCAGCTTTTAGAACTTCATCCCATCCCTGCCCACTACTGGAGGCCAGTCAGGGTGGACCTTTTCCAGAACCTGACAAGGGATGCCAGCCTGCAGCTGGATGTGCAGCCAGAGCAGCAGGCACATCTTGGAGGCTGCCCCAAGGACACAGCTGTCACACTGGGCTTAGCAGCCAGAACACTGGAAATGCACTTTTATTTCCAGCCACTTTATTAGCTCCCAAAAGGAGACCAGTATACTGGGGTATACATTTTTTTCTCCTCCTAAGACCTAAGGGTACACAGGATCGTAAACTGTAAATTCGTATAAATGGTCTCACACCTGAAGGTCCGGATGCTGCACTGGAAAGGGGGAAAGTCATATGAAGGTAATATCTGAATGGTGATGGTGTCTTTTTCTGTCTTTGCTTACAGAACTTTGAAAGTGCAACCTGAGGATTCCCAGGGGGAGTACTCTGACCACTTTTACCTCCGGTCATTCCCAACAGAGTCCTGAAACCACACTACAGTAAACTTGAGTCTTGAGTTCAAGTTCTAGCTGAGGGAAAAGTAGTCAGATGCTTAGTGGCAACTCTTGAAGATAGAACTGGGTGACATTTGAAGCCAGTTTCCCTGCAGCTGTGGAGAGATGCTGTTTTAGACGGAGAGTCAATTGTGAGCTGCCATGCTGGAATGTTGTCTCAGGCAATCTTCACCCATTATGTCTAGTCTTTGAGGTTTTCCAGATCTTTCACACCAATGTTGTATTGAACCAGGCTTCCAGGTGGTACTAGCTCTGAATAGCAGGTTAGAAAGTCACAATGGATGGAACCAAACACCGTTCAAATATGATCCTCTGCGAAGTTCAGTCAACATTAAGAAGAGATTTTTCATCATCTCACGCTAAGGGCAGAGAGCCACTTGGAGATTTTTGGGCCCCATTTTGGCAGTGAGGTAGAAGCAGAGGAAGGACTTGTGAGAGGGATCACTTGATGAGTAGCCAGAATACTCACTTCTTCAAATGGTTCAGCTGGTGAATTCCCCATCTTTAAATACTTGACTCTCACCATGCCAACAGTAAGCACTGAGATCAAATGACCATACTTAGGCAAGTGATCCTCTGACTCTTGCTACTTGTATTTCAGAGAAACAGTTGGGACGAACTGATGGGAGATGCAGAGAAACAGCAGTCTCCTGCAATTGTGAACTAATATTTACAGTCACAAAATTTCAAGCACAAAAAGGCAATGACCTCTGGGATTAAAATTTCTTAGAAAAATCTATAGAATCTTTAAGCTTAGAGTTCCAGGCGGTTTCTAAAGTGCAAAGTGGCAGCCTGTGTGGTGAAGGTGAGAGACTGTCAGATTCCACCGAAAGCAAACAGGAGTGATGGGGTTCTTTCAAAATGGCTTTTATTGAGACACATTCAGAGCTTCGGCATTAGAGTTTCCATTTGGGAACCCATTTCCATTGCGGTGGCTAAACCCTTTTTGGTGCTGGAGGTCTCACACCCATCCATCCACTTGGCAAGGCAGCACCAGAACTCAGCTGTGATGTTCAGACAGGGCAAGACCAACCTCATTTCCATGCTACCTGCAACCATTTTATTAGTGTTCCTTGCACATCTTATGCTAAATTCCCAGAAGTGGGAGGTGGCTTAAATACCAGCTGGTGTTTCTGATTGGGTGTCTGTAGCATGTAGTGATGAAGATACTACTCTCTGAACCATAGTTGTTGCACACATTCATAATGTATCCTGGCAAGACTGATTTCAGAAAGCTCATGCTAGAATTGTACATTTCTGCTACTAAAAGCTTTTCTTGGAAAGAGGTTCAGGAGTCCTGGAAGGTAGCCTGAATTCTCTAAGGAGATGTTGCTGAGAGATGGCTGACCTACCCTACCCCAGTATGGAGAAAAGTTCTAAGCTAAATGCTAGGCCACTTCTGCCTCTTTACTGCATTCTGAATTTAGCCTGGTCTTGGAATTCCCTGCGCAGTAAATCTACCAGCTCCTTTGGTGCCAGTGCCCCCAAACGTGTGCTCTCCAGTCTTTCTTTTCAGAGCAAAATGGCCAAAGGACTCGAGGCAAAGCAGTTGCCTGTTTGGTACAACTGTTGCCATAAGGCGGGAATGAACGGTATGTTGGGAAGAAAGACCACCGGGGGCCAACATACTTCTATCTGTCACCATCAACATTTACATAGACCCAAGTTTTGCTCCTTATCAAAGGGGAACAGAAAACCTCAAGGATGTTTACTTTTGCAGCAAAAGGAAACATATACACACATGAAAACAATTTATAGCTGGCACCTGGAGAGAGAGCATACTTTAGGCAAATGACAGATCGTGGTTTCCCACAAGTTTTCTTCATAAGCGTGGCTTCCATCTCTACTCAGGGTGCTGGGGCATCAAACAGCATAAGATGTAATGGACACACAGGGCTGTCTTGTGTAATAAAAGCAAATATTTACATTAAGCACAATACAGCAATTTATTTAGATGCTTAAAATGAATACAAAGGGAAATAAAGACCACAAAATCATACATACTACAACAGTGTGTCATATATTAGATGGTATAAATGAATACACCCAGCGGTGCTCAACTAAAGAGGAAACTAAATATCCCAAATGTAGCACTCAAACCGTGCTTGCTGCTCTGACACAACACTCTTACAGATCTAAAAGGTGTCAAAATTAGTAGCTGTAAAATCAATTCTTGCATGTTATTTTAGCTTAAAAGGTCTCAGAAAGAGATCTGAAATATCAGTTTTGACAACTGTAATGTCAAGGATACTCAGAACAAGAAAAAAAATCCTATAATACAGGAGAGTCCAGATATATATCTTATGTGGCTGGCCTCTGTTGCAAGATTGTACAAGGTTATGTGCAAAAACTAAGTCTGTCCAAAGGTCCATACTATCGCAGGGTCAAGCTTCTGCTAGGTAAACTAGATATAGCATTTATCACACAGCAAGGGCAACACTAAAAACCAATCTATGACGGGCACACAGTAACAGTGTCATAAGCATCACTTGAGGTCTAAAAGACTGTACAAATATACATTTCAACTATTCAGAATGAATACATGAAAAAAGGTCCATGTTCCCAAGTCTACTAGACACACTGGACTGGTAGCATGTATGCCCGCCCTGCACTACTATGTGATCAGGGTAAGGCTTTCCCAGGACAGTCAACCAAACATCTTACCAAGGGAAAGAAATGCTGGAAAAGCAAACAATGAACTGCTTTTCCCTGTGGCATTCATGAGCCGCCAGCTTATTGGTTTTTCACACTTCATTACTGAATCTACCAGAGAAGGGTCTGAAGCAAGATCAACCAATCACATGTCATAGACATAGAAATAACCATTGGGACTGTAGAGGTCATATGTCCCCAACAGCCTGACCGACCAGTCCTTGCAAGGCAGTGCCAGTTAAAAGACAGCTCTGCAATCAAAACAGAGGTCCAAGATGCAACTTGGCCCATGTGCTGGGGTGTGCCAGGCCCCTCAGGCTTGCTGGCTGCTCAGTTTTACTCCAGTTAAGCTGCCATGCATGGGATCAGCAACTCCGTCAGTCATGCTGTCAAACTGCTCCCCATCCTCACTGTCAATTGTGCTATTCTGCCACTCAATCTGTGGGTTTGGTAAGCGCTCTGCATTCTCAGATGCATTTTCCCACTGTGACTGGTCCTTGGACCAAAACCCTTCAACTTTTCCATAGGAACTATTCTTCCATTTCAACTGCTCTGTGTCATCTTGCACCGTAGCCTTTTTTTTGGCAGCTGGCTTACTGCTCCTTGCATCTTCACTCTGGGAAGACTCATCAGACCAGGTTCCTGGTTTCATCTCACATGTGTTATCCTCAAAGTCAGAGATCTGTTGGGAACCAGGTCCACTCTCAGATGGTGAAGCACCATCTTTCCACTCAACTACATCATCTTGGTCTACCTCACTGTCAGAGGCATCATGCATTAGTTTAGTTGGCTCCTCAGTCAAATGGATAGTTTCATATTTTGAACCATCCTCCTCCTCTTTTTGGTCTAGCTTCTCAGATTCCAAAGCATCCTCAGGAATGACCTTCGGTACATGCTCCTCTGGATTATCACTAGGAATTTTAGGCTCAACTTCAAAGACAGGGTCAAAAGGGCTGTGGCTTCCATTGGATTCTTCTTCTAAATGCTCAAAACTATCTGAGAAGCTGTCGTCTTCCTTCCCAAGGCTAAGCTTTTTGTCAGCAGTCTTACTAGCATTGACTCTTGAGTCCTTCTCGTCATGATTTTCAAACAGCCACTCAGCATCAAAGTCCATCTCGTGTTTGACTTTATTTAATTCTTTCATGTTAAAGCCTAGCAGCACACCGGGCTTGTACTTCTCACAGTCACGAACACACTTCTTTCTCTTGTTACTGAAGTGGGAAGCAATGTCACTCTTCCACAGCCATAGACTGGCGGCTAACTTCTCAATTTCTCTCCTGGAGGGATAGGGCTGTTTGTTGAAGTATTTTGTGAGGAAGCTTTTCCTAGCTTCGTAAGAATCATCTTCATGACCCTTGGGGTCTAAAGCTAAAACAACAGGCTCTTCAGGCTTCTCTTCAAAGCAGCTGGGAGAATCACTGTCATCCTCCAGCTTTCGCTTTTTTAGCAGAGGAAACTCCACCTGTTCATAGGTGCGCTTCACAGGAGCCAGGCCTGGAGACTGATTGAGCCGAGAAGGTGCGTTTGTTTTGTCCTGGCCATTCTGGGTTTTTCCAACACCCCTGCAGTGGACTAGATGCAGAGTGATGGTTGAGGCTGTCATGTTGCTAGTATACACACCAAGGCAATGGATACATTTGTAGGTTAGCTTTTTCTCAACTGGATGAACTGTCTGAATAACTTGGTGTCTTTCTCGTAAATGATGTGCAAGTGCATCAGATATGGGTCCTTTTAGGATTGAAAAGCAAAGAGGGCAAAGGGTTTTCCCAACATCTTTTTTATAGGGCACTGCAGCTTGAGGTGAACTTTTAACAGGGACATCTGCTTTTTCCTGAACTTTTGGCTGTGGCTTTGGAGGAACCGGGGCATTATTTTGGGCATGGTAAGCAACTGATTCGGCTGGGGCATCCCTCAGGTTGTATGTGGTCACCAAGAGATGGATGTTGGTGTGACTCCCCTGTTGCAATGTCAAATCAAAGCTCAAAGTAGAATCGGTTTTAGGTCCCATCTCTTCATCAATGTGAACCATTCGCATGTGTGCTGCCATCTTTTCCACATCATTGAAGGTTGAGCGGCAATATGGACAAGACAGACCATGAATTAACATATGGTTGAGCAGGGTATCTGTGGGCAAATAGCGATTACAATAGAGGCATTTGCTAGTAAAATTGTGTATTTTCATAATGTAGTTAGCTACTGCTGGGACTTTCTCAGCTTTATGTTCCTTTTCAAAGTGAACACTATAGACATTCTCAGGAAAAAGCTCGTTACAGATTGTACATATTTTCCACTTCTGAGTAGCACAATGGTTGCTTGGAGGAGGGCCTGTGGCTGCTGGTGGAGGTTTAGAACCGGATTGACCTAATACTCTAGAAGCCTGTGACTGAGACACAGAGGGAGACTTCACCTGGCCCGGGGGTAGAGAGGTGGTACTGGCAGTCTGCAAGGAGTACCTGGCCGCTGCTGGGGGCCTCTGCTCAGCACCAAGCCCATACGACCTCCCATTTCCACTTGGAAGTAACTGTTTCACAGACTGAGACTGCTGAGGGATGGAAACTGGAGCATTGCCACCTAGACCCAGTCTAACTGACTGGCCAACACCATAGCTCTGGCCTACAGATTTGACTCCATAGTTGTTTTGCTGCAGATGAACATTGGACATCATATTAACTCCTGCTGAGTTTAAGTTAGGCTTTGGTATTGACAATCGATTCACCATCTGCTGTGATGGCAAAGACCGGACATTTCCAGAAGCAAGGGAACTGATTCTTGGTGGTAGTCCCATGCCCTTTTTCTCTTGAGGTTTGGGAGCAATCAGCATCAAGGGTTTGGCCCGGGGAACTACAACATTTGTGTGCCCAATCATGGCAGTGACCTGATAGCCTATCCGTTCATGGTCCTCAATGACATGCTGTACCAAAGCTTCATAGGACTTGGGCATGAAAAGGCATCGCTTGCAGTGGATGTTACACTCTTCTCGGGCATTTGCACCCAGGGGGACAGCACCATTGAGTGATTTTTCTCCTGCCTTTGCTATGTACGGTGCTGCTACATGCTGAAAATGTTCCCTGTAGATGTGCTTCCTGACAATCTCATATAGAGGGTCTCGGTAAGTGCACTTCTTGCAGTAATACACGGCTTGCTCTACACTGTCAGCCTGCTTAGGTTTAAGGCCATCGTTTTTGTTTTTATCTTTGAAAGTGCTGAGGCTGCTACTCGGTGCGCTGGAGTTTGGAGCATGAAATATTTTAATGTGTGTTTCCAAAGTCTTTTTATCTGCATTGAAGGTACAGTAAGGGCAATTAAGGAGAATCCTATTTTCAAAGTCTTCACTATGAACATTCCGGAAATGACTTTTGTAGGCAGAGAAGAATTTTGAGGAAAACGGACAAGCACTGCAGCAAAAAGGTTTTGTCCGATAGTCCTAAAAAATAAACAAAACAAAACAAAATAGAAACCAGAATGAGAAGGCCACTTGAGGCAGGTAGTTATAAATTTTAGGCACCTCCCCCCAGGGATTCCCAGAAATTCTTCAAGGCAATGATTTTTAGGTTTCTCCTGCCGGAAAACTAGAAAGAGAAACTCAAGGAACTCAGGTGCATTTTGAACCAAATACCTTTATTTGTGTCCCTGTGTAAATTAAACTCAGTGCTAAGTTCTTGTCAATCCTCTAAAAATGGCTAGTCATATTTGCTGGCTGGTTTCAGAGAGATGTCAAAAGCAATAAAAAACAAAACAAAACAGGTTTCATGAAAAAATATTTCATCACTAAAAACAACCAGCATAAAACCATGTAAATCCCTCAGTCTGTGGTTCAGTAATCTGCTCAGGCTTCACACACGGGAACTCATAGGTCCATATACCTTTATAAGCAATACAGGTATACTTTTCTCTTTCCCGCCATCCAACAATTTTCATTAAAAAAAAAAAAATTCTACAGTTTCTTCTCCAATCTAAAGCACAGTGAATTTAGACTTCGGTGTGGATCAAAAGGCTCCAGACTGGAAACAGTGGCCTCTTTCTACTTCTTCTCTGGCAGAGCAGCTTCAAAAAGGCCAATAAGGACTGGAGAGACAGTTCAGTGGTTAAGAGCACTGGTTGCTTTCACAGGGGATCTGGGCTTGATTCCCAGCAACTACAAGGTAGTTCATGCAGTTTCATGGTATTTTCTTCTGACCCCTGAGGGCAGCAAGCATGTACACAGCACACAAATACACATTAAATCAAACACACATCAAAACTTTTTTTTTTTCCCCTTCAAAAATGCCAATGAAAAATCAGATTACGGTGGTGTAGGCTTTTCATACCAGCACTGGAGAGGCAGAGAGGCAAGTGGATCTTTGAGTTTGAGGCCAGTCTGGTCAGGACAGTTTCAGGACAGCCAGGGATACAAAGAAAAAACTTTCTATCAAAAAACACCAACCAACCAACAAATAAATGCCCAATGAATTAATTAGCAGCTACTTTAATTCAGCTAAGAAGTTATCTGGAGACTGTCTTATAGACAGATGGCAGAGTGTTCAGAAGCCATGGTGTACTACAGAGCACACTGACATTAGGGATCAGTTTTCAGAATTAAGACGTCAAATAGGTAAATATATACATGAGAAGCAGTCATCTTTTCTTGTGTGTGTTTCATGAACTGTTTTGAACCAAAAGGAGTTTCTCTGCATTCTTTCAAAGCTCCTCAGGTGATGTAGTGGTCTATGTCTTTAATCCCAGTCCTAAAGGCAGAGACAGGTAGATTTCTGAGTCCAGTATAGCCCAGGTTAGACAGACCCTGCCCTCAAAACCAAACATTATCTAGGAAGGCCTTCTCTTAAGAATGCTGCTCAGCAGCTTTCCGTAGGGCATTAAGTAGAGTTCAAAAGCACAAAGTACAGAATTAGAAAGGGAATTCACATCCACTTTTTCCCACAGACAGAAATACCATTTACAATACTATTGTCATATTTTTTCTTTTCTTTTCTTTTTTGGAAACAGAGTTTCTCTGTATAACAGTTCTGTCTGTCCTAGAGCTCACTCTGTATATCAAGCCAAGCCAACAGAGATTTGCCTGCCTCTGCCTCCTGAGTGCTGGGATTAAGGTTGTGTGCCATCTCCACCTGGCCTATTATCACATCTTAATTATGGACACACCAGCATCAGCAACTATCCTGAATGCAAAGGTACAAAAAAATGTCCTGTCACTGCCATTCTAGGGGATCACCTACTACAGCATCTTATAAAGATTAGGTGTCATCAGAGGGATAAAGAAGTGTAAATAGAAGGCTGAGTGTAACCCAGTGGTGCTGCCAAACGCCTCTAATCCTAGTACTCAGGAGGCAGAGGCAGGCGGCTAAATTGGAGGCCAGCCTAGTCTACAGAGTGAGTTCCAGGGCAGTTAGGGCTACAAAGAAAAGTTGTCTCAAACAACAATGAAACAAACAAAAACACTGATCTTGACTTTTCTCTAGGAAGCAAGGGCAGCACTAGAGACAGAACAGCACGTGGGTGGCTGCACACACAATGCTGAAGAGTGTTCCTTAGAAATAGAAGCAGAAAGGCACCATGGAGGGAAACTCATACACCACAGGTTCCCCAACTTTGCTATTTCAGTTTTTTTGAGACACAATCTCATTTGCCCAGGATGGTCTCAAATTTGTTACACAGAATGCCCCTGACCTTTTGATCCTGCCATCAACCCTCAAGCACCGGAATTAGAGGCATGTGCCGCCAAATGTGGTTTATGTGGGGCTGGAGATCAAAACCAAGGTTTTGAACAGGACAGGGAATGCTCCAACTACTGAGCTCCAGCCTTGGTTCCAACTTTAGAAATTTAAAAAACAAAATTTCTGTTCTTTCTTTTAGCTTGAAGTTTCTATCTAGCAACAAGCGATACCTCAGGGGTCTCATACTCAGGAAAATGGGATGCCCGCGCTATTATTCTTTTTCCAGGGTGGGCCACTGCCTGGTCAGAGCTGTCATCATGAAAGGCTCAAGTGGGAAATGGACATTCCTAAGAGACTTACCTGATTTTTTGTAAGTGAAGGGTCCCACAGTCCTACATCCTCCCATGTAGTGTTTTTCAAATAAAAGTCATTAGGTTCAAACTGTTTAAAATCCTAGAAAAACAGTGAGAGAAATTAAAAAAACATAATGGTATCAAGCCCAACCTGACTTGACACCTAAATTCTACCTCTTTAACCAGTGTGAAGGACACAGGAGGGTCAACCACTGAGAACTAATGCAGTGGGGCCGAGGCTCAGCAAATGTGAAAGGCACATGGCCAGGATTCCAGAGGAACTGCCCAAGTGCAGATGGGAAGACTCTAGCCCTATAGCAGCTCTATTAACCACGTAACTCACCAGCCACAACACTGGGTGGAGGAGGGGTGTGTGCTAATAGCTCTGGAGGAGCAAGAGTCTAGCTTGGCAACACAAACAAACAAACAAACAAACAAATCAATAAATAAATAAATGGAAGGAAGGGTGGATCTAGAAGAAAATTCAGATTTTTAAACCAAGAAAGTAAGCAACATGCCGTTCAATTTACACTCTAATGTGAGATCCCCCCTATGACTAAGAAGAAAGCAGCGTGAATGGTTCACAGCTGTTGGTAGAAAGTTAAACACGTGTAAACTTCAGAGTACCTATTAGCTCTAGCGGGAGGAGCAAACCCAGTACAGGATAGGAAAGATACTTGACTATTTGCATATCTATTTGGAAAGGTTTCACCCACCCCCAAGTACAGATCCACGTGTCTCTGAAGAGTTACTTCCACCCTGGAACAAATCACTAGAAGCCCATTTTTGAAAAGCTTTGGTTTCCAGGATACACCCCTGACTACTCTGAGTGGGATTCAGGAGAAGAGACCTTGTTCATGAATGAAATATCAATTCTACCCGACCCGTATCCTTAGCAGTTGTTCCATGCCAAGCATTGTGCTGGGCAGTGGTATAAATGACTAAGCAAGGCCACTTTAGTCTGGCCAGTAGAAACCTAAACTGTGGGGGAAATCGCTTTAAACGCTTCGGTTGGAGGTTGGGTCCAACTAACTGTAAGATCTGTAGCAAGGTGATCTGGACAAGGAGGAGACGCCTCTGTCTATCCCATGGGGCTTGAAAAAAGCTCAGAATAAAAAGGCTAGGGAACAGTCTGGAAAGGCCAAACTGCTACACAAGGGCAAGATAAGTCTTTGATGGGTCAGAAGGCTGACAAATGCCAAATCCTAAGGAAAGAGATGACAAACACCTAGACAACCATGCCTCAACAGTCAGGTCAATGGAAACACCCAGGCTTATGAGAAGGAAAACAGGCTCTGCAGTCCCCAATGCCTCTTCCCTAACTGTGAGCCTGAAATCACTGCTTCCATTTCATAGACTGGAGATAAGAATTCCTAGAGTCCCCTGAAGTTATTTCAAGGACCAAGTTCATATACAGTTTTAAAGCACCTCTTGCACTGTCTGTGTATATTTTCCATGCTGTAACTGTTTTTGCCTCAGGATGCAAAGATGAACACACTTCCAGGAAAGGGAGTAAGCTCTACTAAATAAGAAGGTCTCGTGAAGCTGAAAGTGCAGTTAAATTCACCCTCACACCTAACAGTGAACATCTTGCCCATGGACACAGTAACGGTCAGAAGCTGAGTCACATTAAAATTTAAAAATGGCATGCTACTTACTTCTATATGTTCTTTACAGTATTCCAACCCAATGTCACTAAGTATTTTTTTCACAGTTTTCCGGGCTTTTCTTAAACTGCCAAGATTGTTGACAGGAAGTTGGAACATAGTTTCTATTGGAAAAAAAAATTTAAGTCAAAGTCAAAACATGAACAACTTGTCAAAGTTACTAATTCCACTGATGACAGGATCCCAAACCCTGGCTCCTTCAGGTGAGAAGATGTACTCATCTAGTATATGGAGCACTTAAAGCAGGCAGGCAGGCAAAAGTGAGTGCTTGTCAGCCTTTCCTATCTTGTTAGAGGACATTTTTACCACGAGTCTAGACGCACAAGTCTGATTAGGCTTTAACAACCCTTTAAGAGATGAATTTGAAGTTGGAGAATGAAACAGCATCAGTTAGCTATCTCAAGTCAAATCAAGTGTGTTTCTCCTTGTGATGTCGGATCTACAAAACTAGAAAGCCACTCAGAACACCACAGCGTCACAGTACCGCACAGCGCTGAAGGGAAGACTTTGCTTTCTGAAACGACAAGGTGACAACACTCTCACAGAAGCAACATGACATTCAATGACTGTTTCTATCTCCTCAAATCGAAGTTCCAAATGATGGTTGGTGTGATCTGTTCCTTAGGTGTCAACACACCTGGGCAAAGGACTCATATGGGGCTATGGCCGAGATATTAGATGGGGAAAGCCATGCTGTGGCTTCCGAGCACATGGTGACTGCTGTAGGCTTTCTGGGATCTCTTAAAAAACAAAATGCTTGTTGAGTGAGTGTGTGTGAAGCATGTAAGGAAATCAAAAAGCTGTTTGACTCTCCTAAACACAAAAGCAGAAAGAAATGGAGACCCATTTTCCAAGTTTCTTAAAAACAAAAAGTACTTGTGTTTTAGAAAACTGAATTAGTACAATTTGAGGTGAGATTTTTTAAGTCTCTGAATATGACCTAAACTGTTTAAATAGTCTAAATTCAACATAATTTTGCAGAATAAAGTAGCTTTAAGACCAAAGTCAGAAAAAAAAAAAAAAACCACGCCAAAGCACCAGCGGTTGGGATTTAACAAATCTCAAGTTTTCTAACTATAACCATCACCTTTACCGGCCGCAAGCCTGAACCTGGGGATGTTCGTGTACACAAGTCCCAGACACTCTAATATAAGGTACCAAAGTTTGCTGGGTCTCCCAACATTAAAACAGTCACTGAAAAGCAGCATCCCCAGCCTCATCATTCTTCAGATGAACTCCTGTAAGTTGAAGACCAGGGACTAGAGTGAGTAGTCCTTCCCCAGAAGGGCAACAAATTATCATTTCTCCTTCATACTCCCTGAGCCTTATACCAATCCAAGGAACAACGTTTCAATGAAAATACTAGTCCATGTGAATTACTACATATGACATGAAAAAGGACTCAAAGGTTCCCTATGCTTTTTTCCTCAGGCCACTATCTTTAAGTACTTAAGGGTCAGGCTGGGCTAGGTGATAACACATTGGCAACCCCAATCCCAGCACTCAGACGGATAAGGCGTGAGGACCATGAACTAGAAACCACCTATACCCTAAATGAAACAAGTTGGGCATAGTGACACATTGACCAAAAATAAAACAAAACAAAATAATAATAAAAAAGGAAGTTCAAATCAGTAGTTGGTTCCAGAATTTATTCATGCTACCCATCTAATTTTTGTTTAAAAATGTGTAAGAAGAACCCTTCTCCCCCAGCCTCAAAACCTTTTTGAACTAGAAACCTCAACAAGGAGACTGTATTTTAAAAACAGAGAGAAAAAACAAAATCCCTGCAATACAGAGTGGCAGAGTGGTGGTATACTTTCTCCCCTTTATCAATGGCCCCCAAGCCCTGCTCAGCCTTTTGGTATGTTATGCTGGCAGTGTCTAAGAGGTCCTTACCAAGGAGACTGTCCTTTCAGCACAAGGTACTTAAAGTGCAAATTGTCCAACCTAACAGAACTGCACTCTTGTTCATCTATCACTTCCAGGACATCTCAACTTTGCAGGTCATGCTGCTGGGAGCACACAGTAGGCCCTCACGCAGCAGGTTTTACACACAGCTTTGTTGTTCAGCCTCAGTTGGAACAACTGCCACAAATGATGTCTTGTCAGTCAGGACTCAGGTGAGGAACATCTCTGCAGTACACAAAGCTGTTAATGTGCTGGAAAGCAGAGAGGGAAACGCCCGAGGCAGCAGTCTTCTCACTGTGCCCACATCTCTTTCTAGACATATGAGTAAATGTGTTTAAGCTTTGTTGCCACCCAAGTCTTTGCACAATCTACAGGCAGTGGAACACAGAAGTGAAATTAATCAAAGGAAAAATGGGATTGAGGAGAAGTTTGTCAAAACATTCAGTAATGTCCCGACAACCCAAATTAAAATACTATATAAATTCAATTGCTAAATTCTATAATAATTCTGGGAGCAGACCAGTTAGTTCAGTTGGTAAGAACATGGTGCTAATAAAGTAATTTTGGGAACGCTCAATGCGAGTGTCTTAGTCACAGCCATGTACTAACCGGAAGAGATGCACTATATAGGCTGACCTCCAGCTCACAGACCCTGTTTGCCTCTGGGGTGCTGGACTAAAGGCATGTGCCACCTCTCATCAACTTCTGAGAATGATTTAAATTTATTTTGAATGAATGAGTCACACTCCATTCTCAATCTCACCTATACCTGAAGAGGAGGGCAGGAACACCACAGTTTAACCAAGGTCAAATTCCTACTTTTTTGTTTTATTAGAAAGCAAGAGTTTAATGGCTGCAATGAAAATCTGAGATTCATCTTGGCCCTAAGGCTATATATAATTAAAACCATGTAAATAATATAGTATGTCTGATCTCTGCACCCCAAATTATCAAAAGCAATTACTTCAAACGCCAAGAGGGTAAAGAAAAGACAGTCCAGCTGTAGACCAACCCTGTACAGGGACAAAGACCATAATCCAGTATTGGTACTGGGTAATACTGAGCAGGACCTATGAACTGAGAGACTAATTACAGCTTCTACCTGGAGAAGGATCCAACAACAGTGACAGTTTAGCTCAAAGAAAGGTCTACAGACCGGAGAGGAATGAGAAGCACTAGTAGGGATTGTCTAAATCAGGGTCCCTGTAGAGCCACCAATGACCCTTATTTTTAGAACTACAGAAGATCAAACAACAAAAACAAAATGACAGAATACAGACGGGCTGGCAACTCTAGAGTAAAGCAGTTGTACAGTGTCCAGGAAGCCATGAATTTAATTCCCTGAATCACAAACAAACAAACAACCCACAAACAACTCCATCAAGTAAAACAAACAGAAAGGAAGGAACCTTTACAACTAGGTGGAAACATTTTGTCTGAGTACAGCAAGAAAAAACCTCAACCAATCAGTCCAGGTTACACTGAAGCTACCTGGAGGATGTAACAGTGTGCCCTTAAAGCCATCTTGTTTCAATATGCAGTAAAAAAAAAAATTATGTACTTCTGTATATGGGTGGTTTGGTCTGCATGTACATTTGCATACCAAAAGAGGGAACTGGATCCCAAGGGACTACCATGTGGGTGCTGGGAATTGAACTCAGGACCTCTGGAAAAAGGGCTTTTAAGCACTGAGCCATCCCTCCAATCCCCTCAATATGCACTCTTACTCGATGTTTCTAGACCTCTGAGTATCCAGGCTAATTGAACAAACTCCAATCGCAATATAATAGTCAGTCAATTAACCATTCCCCACTATAGTCTTTCTCTTTCACCTTCTTATCTTAGCCACAGGGATCTAACACTTCTCTATATAATAATTTAGTCCACAATTGGTGGTGAGGCATTATCTATAATCCCAGCACTTGGGAGGCAGAGACAGTCGGAGCAAGCATTCAAGGCTAGTTTAAGCTAACTATATCAAGCTAGAGGTTATGAGAGAGGCAATCTCAAAACAAAAACAAAAAACATGGTCACATAGGTGAGATGGCTCACTTGCTGTGCAAGCCTGTAGACCCGAGTTTGCTCTCTAGAACCCATGAAAGAACCCACTCCTGAGATCTGCACTCTAATTTTCAGATACACTACACTTACACTAAAGAAAATACTAAAACTATTCTAGGATCTGCATCTGAAGCAATGAACACATAGGCTATTTAAAAAAAAAAGATTTATTTTTATTTTATGTGCATTGGTATTTTGCATGTATGCATGTCTGTTTGAGGATGTTGGATTCCCTGGAGGTAGTTACAGGTAAGCTGCCACCGGGGTTCTGGGAACGAAACTCATGTCCTCTGGAAGAAGGTTAGTGCTCGTAATTGCTGAGCCATTACTCCAGTCCCCATACCTTATTTCCTACTAATCCTATGTTTGAATTAAAATACCAGTAAGGCTTATATATTTGCACTTACCTTGTATAGGGTTTTTCTTCATAGCTCTGGCTGTCCTTGAACTCAAGATACCCACCTGCCTCTGCCTCCCCAGTGCTAGGTTAAAAGACATGTGCCATTACAATGTATTTGTATTTTTTTTCTTTGTAAATAAACCCTACAAAGCCTTGCTAGAACATTTCACATCTAGCAAGTCACCCTATCAAAAGGCTCCTTTCAGTCTGGAAGCGATCACCTACCACTGGGAAGCAGCTCATCCTTTCCTGTCAGCATGGGGAGAGCCCTTCAGCGGCTCTGACAGAAGCTGCTCTAACATCTTTCCCTCTATCCCCCTTCTCTACTCACCAGTGACTGATTGTGGCCACCCAGGGGCAGAATGTCCTTGATTAGATAAAACTGCAACAAGACAGATAAAATAGAGTCCAGGAGCTAGAGAGACGGCTTAAAGGTTGTTTTCCAAGAGGACCCAGGTGGGATTCCCAACACCCACACAGCAGTTCACAACTGTCTGTAACCCCAGTTCTAGGGGATCTGATGCCCTTTTAGGGTTTCTGAGGTCACCAGGTACAATATAGTGCAGACATGCAAGCAAAATGTCCACAAACACTAATTAAAAAAGTGAAGAAAAATTTAAGTCTAGGGTTAGCCAGTTGGTTTGGTCAGTTAAAAAAAAAAGATACTTGTCATGGCGATTTGAGTTCAATCCTTGGGACCCACGTGATGGAAAAAGACAGAACGCACTCCTG